GACCTGATGATGGTGCTAGAGGGAACTATAAGGCATCACCAAAGTTATGACGATTCATCCTGAGGGGGACTTGAGTGTCTGTGCCAAATTTCATGGCAATCCATACAATAAATGTTAAAACCCCAAATATCACCTCATGGAGGCGCTATAAGAAAAGTCAGGGAATCACCAAAGTCAGGAGGACTCATCGTTTGGGAACTGTAAATATCTGTACAAACTTTCATGGCAATCCATCAAACAGCTGTTGCGATACAAGGTGGGGGACCAACCGACCAACATTACCGTCCCTACAGCCACACAGCTCGCAAGGCTAAAAAAATCATTCCCCACTTTTCACACAGTGGCTAAACAAACAAAAGTGGCTAAACACAGTTTATGTTTGGTTCCAGTATGCTGCTCCATACAGAAACGCATCAAACCAAGGGAGAAAACTGTCTCAAAGCCATTGCTTGGAACCTTTCAGCCAATTAGTGCTGAGCTGCGTACTTCTTTAAGTGAATGTTTGCTTACAGTGAAGAAAAATGACAAGCTATCAATCCAGATCCAATAAGCATGATGGCCGTTTGTAAAACTGAAAATATAGTGTAGGCTACCAGTGCAAATTAGCTACCTGCATACACATTTACAGCCAGACGTCCTGTGTGGGAGGCAGCAGGGCACTGAAAGACTCCATTTACACACTTTGGTTTAACTGCAGTATTTGCTCTGACACCCATCATCGCTTAAGTACTCCATTCATACACACTCCGCTTCAGCTGACAAGAGCAATTACATATTGGTGATTATTTTACAATAGCCATTGAAATTATTAATCTCGCTGCCCTCCGTGATTTCGGTCGACATTCGTCTGATATTAAGGGTAGGTTTTCTTCCTCACAGCAACTGATGTGTTAGTGACACCATCGCTTAACCACCACAAATCTGACTGCTTAAATGGCAGCTCTGTCAAAGTGTCATGTCAGAATTCAGATTTGTGATTGCCTGACTGAAACTGACAGAGCATGTGGCCGTGTCCACAGAATTATAATTTAGCTGTATGAACATGTAATATGTGTCAGCCGCCTCATACGGTCTGTATTGTTGCGGTGGTTAAAGAAGCAGTGAAAGTGCAACATCACATAAATAAATAAATGAACAGACATCTGCAGTGAAGCAACATTTAAAACATGACTTCTAAATGTTACCATACAACACTTTCCACAGAGCGTCACACTTAGTGAGGTCCACAGCATGTACTGTACAAAAAACAAAATCTATCAAACTGTTTTTAATAGCATCTGATTGGCAAGCTGTCTTGGGACAGTTGGCAAATGGGCGGGCAGCGGAGGAGTTTAGAGGTGCTAAAGTTCAGGCAGGAGCGACGCAGCACCCTGTGTCCTGCCAACAGCCTTACAGTGGCGCAATTCCTGACTAAGTTGTTGACCCGTGGCCCCCACCTGCCTTGACCATGCATTATATGGGGGGGCATCACTTCCCCTCCTATGCTGCCTGCCACACCAGAAGGCTTTTGACTCATGCCCATCTGTCCTGGTAGTACATACATTAAGTGAAAGCCAAGCTACTGGCACCCTGTCCAATTCATGTGTGCTTTTATAACACGGCGTTATATAGCGTGTGAACAGATTTTTTTACCTTAGCAACAAACATCTCTGTAAAGAGAATAATTATCCGTGAAGAGGTCATTTTTAATAGTTATCTTAAGATTGCAATGAGATACTGCTGAGGTGTTATGATGCACACATTTGGAAAACTAATTCTCAACACTGGTATGGTATTTCTTATCCAATTCAAATCCAATCAATGTATTTGTCACAACACTAATACAAATACAAGCCATGCTATAAATCCTATCTTTGTGAAGCTTATAATATTGTTTTGATGCTGTCAGGGAGGTGTTGATTCAGCTCTGCAGCAGTTTTTGAGACTGTAGTCGGTGGCGGTGTTGAATCAAAATGTATGACGTTGATAGGTGTTTCAAATGTTCTGACACACTTTAGAGGAACAGTATCCGTTTGCATGCCTGTGCCATTAGCACAGTAGCCGAGCAGACAGGATAACAATGCCTGAAAATACAATTACGACCTAATCACTTGTTAATAGACGCGAGGGCAGTCGGTCCTACAGATTCAATTTAGTCATACTTCAGATTTGCGGACAGTCTCAAAACATATTCATCAGCGTGTGAATACACTGTATTTGCAATAATGGTATTAAGAAATAAATAAAATGACACTTTTGCACCACGCTTTTGCTTAAATACTTTGTATTCTCATTTGATCTGAAAGGACCTTTGACATATTTAAAAGGACATTAACTTTCTTAAGGACATCAAAAAGCTTAGACAAACAAGATGCAAACTTACCTGACCTTGTTGGATGTCTAAGTAATGAAGCACCTCTTTAAGCATGACGGGCGTATGAAGAGGCTTTTCGGTCGACACGGACGTCGGCTCTTCCGAACTGTCCGGAGATCCTGGACCAGGAGATGCACAAAGTGTAGAAGAGTGCAGGCTTATCTTCCAAGACCTCCATACTCTCCTGACAGCCAGATTTGCTTTCCGTAACAGTGGGTTGGAGCGCAAACACATGTGGAAAACCATGATCCTTGTAATGATCTATGGAGACAATTAGAGCAAAGTTGTGTTGTGGTATGAAATAGGAAGTGTTTTACAGTCAGTTAAGAGGAGCAGCGTTTGTAGCACTGCTCAATATCAGTGAGTATATTATAAATGAAAGAAAGATGGTGATGCAGTTTATTATTTACTGTACTATTGTCTGGATAGTTACAAAGGCCGACATCATCTTACCCTGTACTACTTGTAATGTATTGTTTTGTAATGTACGTAATTGGTATGCACTTAACGTTGCTTCCTTCCAGGTCACCATTGAAAAAGAGATTTCCTGGTTAAATAAATGTTTGTTTGTTTTTTTTTTTAAAGTGCTAAATGTAGAAACTGACAGAAATCTCACGGTGCAGGTTCACAAAGTAGCTTCGATATTTCCAGATGGGATTTTTTTCAAATGACTTAAGCAGCTCGCCAACCTCGGGTGTCCAACCAAAACAAGAGAGCATCGCAGTTTTACCCATGAAACCATCTGGAATCACTCTGAAGGCTGAACTCATCCGACAGCACACCTTCACACACTGCATCACCACCACACCCACAACAAGAGGAAGTACATCTTCGGCTGATTAGTTCTACATTTTGGTAGTCTACATGGACAATACTGCCCGCAGCAGGCACCAAAGTGAGCCACATGGTTAAAAGGGTATTCAGGTGTTTCCTGGCAACAAGATGTATTGAAAATTAGAGCTCTGTTAGTGATGTATGAATCAAATACAACAGAGATATCTGAAGGAGATGAAGGAATTCAACAAGTGTGCACATGGCATTAGTGATCACAAAGCAAACGTTCAACGGCAGCAAAGAATTACACAGTATTTGGAGCGGTGACAATAAAAACACTGAGTGAAGATGCATGATTGTTTTAAGACTGCAGGCAACAAAAACAACTATTTATACGCACTATTATTACATTACCAGTACGTGCATCTAGATGAACATCAAAATATTACATCTTTCAGGTAAGGTAAGCAATCCTCTACTGGAATATTTTGAGAATACGGTCCATCTATTATCACTTATGATTACATTTGTGATTGTTTTTTATCCGTGCTTTCAGTGAGAAGATCAAGTGACTTTGTCTCATGATATAGAGGTATGTTAAAGTGCCAAGATGGGTGAAAGGTGGGCAATAACTCTAAGGATAGGATAAAAACAACATTATTTAATTTGATTAGGTATTTTTTAAGGGCCCATGGTTGTAGCTACGCCCCTGTCCCTCATTATTACCATGGATACTTAGCTGCTAGCCATCAGGTTAGAAATGTGTAGGAGGGTCGGCATGACTCTACAGCTCCTGGTTGTTGGTAGCTGTTAACAAAAGTGCTTTCATTTAACCAAACGCGTGTAACCAAGTGTACTGCTGTTTCGGAGTACCACACAAAGGCACAATGTTGGTGTGAAGCAGGTTAGCTAATCACTTCGCTAAAAAAAAAACCCCAGCGCTAACGTGGAGAAAATGTGCTATGCAGTGGGCGTGCAGTTCACTTACACGCACAAATGTACCTTAACAAAAGTGTTAAAAGTGGGTTTTACACAGCTCACATACGCATCTTAGTTATGCAACGTTCAGTACACCTGTCGTTGCTCTTCAGCACGTGTGTGTAGCAGCTGCTGTGTCTGGGCACTTTCACACCTGGTACGCCAGAGCGAGGCAATGGATACTGTTGCTATGCCACCATGTTGGATGACCGCGCGCAGTTAGCTAGCACTGACGAATACACACGAGGAGGATGCAAACAGTAAATTCAGTTAAGACGTTTAAAAAAAATGTTCAACCGAAGGGGGGG